TGGAACTTCATTCTTACTCAGAGTTTTAGAACTTATTACTTATAACTGAACTGAGCAGACAAGGATATAAAACTGCTTATTCTGGAAACAGGTTGTGCTGAACTTTTATTATGAAGGCTAAACTCAAGCACTAAAATGAGTTTTTAGATAAGAGCCCTAAATGTATCTTCGCCATCCTCTGTTTAGAAACTACTGTAACGTGACCACCTGTTCATGACATGACCTGCAGGCTGGGAAGTGGTAATGCAGCAGACTCCAGCAGGTTGACATGCCGGCGCCGCCCCCCTCCCCTCATTATCTCTGCGTGATCGAAAGCCCAAAGAATTCTTCGAAGAATCTATCGAAGAGGAAACGAAAAAACGAAAGTTTGTCACCGTTGGAATGTCATTCTTCCTTCACTTTCATGATCGGACCACTCTGCTGCCCTTCATTTTATCAAGTCAGTGGCGCGGTGATCTGTTTTCTGTCATCAGCGAGGAGTGCCTTATTTTTTGTAAAGGCAGGGTCGATAGCAATGTGGCAAGCGTAGTATGTAGACTCCTGTTTCCTTCCCACAGACTGATACTCATTTATCAGTTTCGGAAAGAAGGACGAGTGACCTGGTCAATTTTGAGTTCGACAATCTACCGACTGAGCAACCACGATCTTAAACAATGTGTGGTAAATTCACTGTTCACTGATATTCATGAAAAAGACAAAGATTGATATCGAAAGAAGGGAACCGAATCCGGTGAAGCAGATTTCTTCGACACTGTGCCAACAAGCCAAGAACGTTAAGCTGGTTGATGGCTAGGAATATATCGACTACATTAGTCGACACTTGTCATCCCGAATAGATGGCTAGCAAATGCTGAAGAACGGAAGATCAGACAGCATCCTACAGACGAAAAACAGTCAATCGAAAGGATGAACGGTATCTCCTCCTGAACTTGCAATAAAAGCAGTTCTTATCTTTACGGTATTTTTACAGTCATGGAGAGATCTGTCACGCCTCACTACTTCTTCATCCGATAACCGCTTCCGGGCTCGCAACTAGCTTTTCAAAACTAATTAAAATACATGCTACTGAATTTATCCCCCCCCTGAAACGATGTTGGCCCTAAGTCGCTTTTAATTTTCTTCAAATTCATACACCAATTCTGCTAGCTAAGCAACTTTCGGAATCAGATGTCATAAGCATAAACTACTGCCAATCAAACTGGAGAATTTCTTGCCATCAGACAAACTGCAATACGAATTACTTGGATAACATGATATTGATATTAAATCTAGCAATTATTCACCTCAGGCCTTTCAGCACTCCATAGAGAGAGATACAAAAATTGCACTGCAGATCAAAATCATTAATTACAACTCATCAGGATAGGATACTATTAGTACAACCAGTCAGTAAGTTAATTATGAACGTAATAGTAAAAATTTTCAGTTACTAAGAAAAAGAAACAAGTAACATAAGCAAAATAACATTACGGTCAATAAAGCAACTGGCAAGCGGAAATACACCTAGCAGTTCTACAGGACTGATTCGAATAAAATAAAGGTGGGAAAATTTTAAAAGTTTTAATAACAACAAAACAAAAGACGCATAAAACAAATATGTCAATTTCACTGCCATAAAAATAGACTTAGCCAATTCGTCGTAAAATATAAACGAGCCAAAAGAACAGGTAATTTAAACCTAACGGAAAGCTTCACGGCAGACTGTCATAAGTTCTGCCGAAATTAAACAACCACAGTCAAGAATAATCGACAAACGAAATATATTCAACTTAACAAAAAAACAAAATGTTGCTCAATAACGAGAAGAATTCAACATTAAGATGTTTAGGAAAAATAAACACAAGAAAACAGGGCATGTGGAATGATCAGATAGACTTTGAAATGGCTAAGTGATGTGAAGCTTCTGACGTACCGCATCGTCGGTGAGTTCATCGATCTCACGAATTTCCATTTCCTACAAGCTAGCACATCAATTTGCATATTACTACTACGGTAATATTTAAAAATTTTGTTGTTTAAACTCTTCTAGATATTGTGCTTAATTGAATGAATGAATCGGTGGCCTTTTCATGTCTGAGAAATGACAAAAATGATGTTAAGATTTAATTTATGACGCGTTACGTTATAAAACTATGTAAACCTATCGTTAGCGAACGCTTTGCAAAAATATTAACAGGCAACACGTGAAAGTAATGGGGAAATGATCTTCAGGTTAACCTTGTTGAACAGTTTTTGTTCACTTGGAAGGAAGATTTATTGCATATGACATCGCTGTCGCCTGCCACATAAATAAATTTTTCTACTAAAGGATTATTAAGATTATTCTTATTTTATCTTAACAAGCGCATAAATCTTGCTCAGTGGAAGTCGTTTAGGCATGGCATGTTCTACAGTGACCGAATGGTCTATGTAACTCTGCTTATACGCATAGCAAAGTTGTTTTATACAAAAGCTTATTTCTAAATGCTTCATCTACAAAATTACCGCCCTGTCTGACACTGCATCAGAGAGGCGACATCTGAGCTTAACTAAATGGTCGCTTACTAAATTAAATAAGTCCACTAAAACATTTCCTGATTAATAATACACGCTGAAGCCCTGGACATTTGAATATTTAAAATCGGCGATAAATAGAAGAAATACAACAGGAGCATATCCTGTTGTTTGTGATTGGCAACTGTCTTCCAATAACCGTCTGAATGATCCACCATTTGCAATTTTTTCAGGGTTACACATTATGCTGACAATCACAGCCAGTCAGCAGTTAGCCAACAGGTCGGTCAAGACGCAGAGCAAACACAAGACGCGGTAGCATCAGCAAACAACATGACTCTCGGCTGATCTCATCCCAACAGAACAACGTGCTGTGCATTCTTTCCGTTTCTTGGCTGGCTGCACCGAATCAACGTGTAGCAAATTCTATGCTCCGATGAATCCGCGGTTATGACAAAAATCTAGCCTTCTCACGAATTCGACGTCGACCCCATAGAGTTCGAAGCGACTGTTTTGCCACTCACTTTGTTTTATTCCAGATATTTCAGATTTGAAATTTTCATACGTGTTACAATTGCCATAGCATGAAGATGTCAGCTTCTTTTCATAATGGTGGCCTGCATGGAGAACGACGAATCGAAAAAGGAAAGCCTGCTGTCGTTGCAACGTCGGTCTTCCTTCAGTTGCATGACTGAGCCATTTTGGCGCCCGTTATTGATGAACTTAATGATGTAGCGTGTTTATCTCTGATCTATTCCATCAGTCAGGAGTGCCTTAGACTTTTGAGGCTGATGTTATAGTTACATGGCAAATGTAGCGCCTTGTCTCCTACCCAGAAAATAGTACTTATTTATCAATCTCGGAAAGAAGAATTGTGGATGACCCCAAACAGGGCCTGATCTCGGGAGACCTATCGGTTCTGAGTTCGATGTTCTACTGAATGAGCAGTCCCGGTCAACGGACTGAACCAATCTGTGGTAAATTTCTTACTCATGGAAATTGGTGAATAAGTCGAAGAACGGAACCTCCTGAGTTCGAAGCAGACATCTTAGATATTATCCCACAACACCACATGAAAAAGATGAATAAATCAGTTTGAATGTTTCCAATAAACCTGAAGTTCATATTTCGAATTGTCAGCCATGCACTTTTTAGCTTATCAGTGCTTCAAGAAATAGGAGTAGGCCGTCCTTTATAGTTTCTGAAGGGAACTAGATTGTTTACCTGGAGCTTGACTACTCCTCCACGGTACATTGGGAATACACTAAACATACTGGTTTTATTCAGCAGCTAGTTTTTACTTGAGCAACGCTATAAGTATACGTAATGCGTCCATGACTACGTTGTTAAAAAACAGACTTATCGAACATATAAGTTAGCAATGTATATGTATGCTAGCATACTCGATCGACCCCGGCAGCGTTGGCAACGTTGTTCTTGCTACCTGCGTACATCATCTGCATTTCAGGACTGCATCCTACAGAAAGAAAAACCAATTCTTAGAAGACGCGTAAAGTACGACTCAGTTACCCGGAGGAGTGCAGTATACAAGCAACAGAGGAAATGATAGCCTCCCATCGGAATGTTCGGAACGATAACTGAGGATCACAAAGCGAGGCTGGCGGTCAGGCAAGTGGTTGCATACGGTAGTGAGATCACAGTCCTAAATATACGGAGTCACTGAACGCTCATTAGAGACAACTATACATTGCCAAAGTACTTTTTACACAAGTAGTTCCACAGACTATGAATTCAAATGATTTAACCAAACCAGGTTAGCTGCTTCATGAAACTCAAACAACAAAGAAAACAATTATAATAGATAACAAGATATTATACAATATACAGAGGACGATGAAAAAAAGCACTGTTTCCACATCGGGGCATCTGTTTTCCTTATTATTTTGTTCAACAGTGCTACATGCGTCGCACTGTAATTTAAAGGATTCGGCAACGCTCCAGCTGTTTCAAATTATAAATTAATTACAAAGCTGAGAAAAAATTATATGAAGTGCGTGAAGAACGGGGTGATGACAGCCCTATTGCGCCGTATCATCACTACTGATTAAACGCTAAGGATGTCATTATCGTAGAGGCCAGATATTAAGTGCAGAACGCAGATCTTTTGATGATGAAAAACAAGGTAGAACGGGCATAAGTGGTCGATCATAGGAAAACGGTTCTGCCCGGTTAACTGAGATTGAAGAAAAACAGAAAAGCGATTTTCATTTCCCTCAATTACTAGGTTAAAAAATAAAGACTAATCGTCGCGTGATAGGACAACAGCGCAAGCAGTACAAACGTGTCATCTGCGCTGAATATATCGCTTAACTAGGTAACCACCTCTGTCCTAGCACTCTAAAAAGTATCATGCATGTACTACAGATGGGGGATGGGGGACGAAACTGATAACACCTGACCTACTCATAACAGTCGGTACCTGCAAAAAAACTATTCTTAACAAATAATTCATTACCGTCCGCCACGGCAGGGACAGCAACACATGTCATGATGAAATAAACGAGATAGACGTAGCACACAAATGCGTAGTTTGAAGGTCGAACGAAAGAAATTCCAGGCTTCCGTGTGTTGAAGGCGAATGAATCTGGGCAAAGGACGGGAGATATGAATATCACATTCACAAACGGAATGTAAAAGCAGCTATCTGACAGGGAAATGTGTCGTACTTCAAGAGTCACTACCACATATAACCACATTAGGGGGAAACCAAAACGACCTCTCTGGATTCGCTGGACGCAGCAGAACGGTGATCAAGTCAGAGTTTTGGTAGTTCTTAGACTTTTCGCCATAATCATGCGACAGGAATAGAAGAAAAAAACTGCGAAATCCCTAAATTGGCACCGTTCGCCCATAGTTTTGACTTTTGCTCGTCATTTACTGACAACTATCACCTGCATTTTCGTCATCGTCACCGATCATCACGATTTTTCCACCCTTCCTATCATCTGTATCATTATCACCATCGACGCCATTATCAGCATCAGAGTCATCGTTTCAATCATCGAAACTGTTTCATGTTTGACACGAATAAACAATCAGCATAAAGCTTTTAAAATATCGCAATGAATAAAATAAATAGTAATAAGCCAAAGTTCGTAAACGATAAACATTCAGAACCTCAGAACAGCAAAAAATAAAAAAGTTCGTACGATATCCGTATGCGCACAGTGTTTGAAAATCAGAAGGAACAAAAAGTTTGGTAGCTGATTTCGTAATTAATGCAATCTTCGTATTACTATATCGTTTCTGGTCTAGAATTTTACGAGTTTCAAAACTTAATCGCTAGTGTCATTTCAGCTAATTATATGTAAATGATTCACTGATTTTCAGAGTCCTCAGGCTCAAAGCAGTAAAGATTTACCTATTTCAAACAACCTTCTCTGGCACAGGTAAGTAAAAGAAAAAAGAAAAGTTTGAGTCTGCAAGCGTTGACATGCCGGTCCTCCTTATAGTTTTATGAAGAGGCTGTTTGTGGCGTCTTTCTTATCATAAAATTAATAATGCTCTGCTAATCTCCATTACTACGACATCAGCCACAATGGCTTCAGTTAAACTGCAGAGTCAACAGCATCTACGTGACAAGCACAGCGAATAGTCTCCTATTTCTTTTGCGCCAAGTGGTAATCAATCATGAAGCTCGGAAGGAAAAAATGCTAGTAATTCCGACGGGGCCTCGAACCCGGAACCTGTCAGTTCAGAATCGAGTGCCTTACTGGCTGGTCAACCCCGGTCATCCAGGCATAAATAAGCCATCAAGCCTATTGCAGCCCAGATGGAAATGATATACAACAATAATAACATTATCGGATAAAAATACATCAAATCAAAATACCTCCAAGTCTTCTTCGACGACCAGTTCGTGACTGGTTCGATCGATCTTCACTAAAACAAATAAAAGACATCCTAACTGAACGATCAAACGGTTGGTCAGAGACCAAAGCATACGTACGAATCAAAGCGCATGTGCCATGAGACTTGCGTCTACGAAAACGATCGATGTGCTGTGCCACGCCATTGGTCAGGTGGCATATCTTCAGCGTAGAACACTATAAGGAAGCGTAAGAGGTGAAAAACAACAACGCGACTGCATTACCATAATCAGCAACTCAACTTCGATCCTAGATAATGAATCGTACTGGATCAGATGCAAAAACGCTGGTGATGTATTTGCAAATACAAAATCGATAGGCGATAGACGCGTAAACGGTTACGAACAATATACCATTAAAAAAACTTTACTATACGAACAGATCACAGCAGCATACAGAACGTTCGACATAAAAGTAGCTTCGGCGCAAATAAAAATTCGTCAGATGATTTTGATTTCAAAAACGTAAATGCTGCCAAATTATGAGTAACTTCAAGCAGTATTTGACCCTTGACCTTTGACTAAAGCTTTATCACCGGCTTCAGAAGGTACAAGTCGTTAGTTATCGTATGATAATAGGACGGGGTCATGTCCAGCAATTGGCCATCGCTCTCCAGCTGAGTCCTCATGCCGCCAAACATGATCAACTCGCCGCGGCCTTTAACCAGCGAATACAACAGCGTATCTTGCGGAGTCACGGAGTCGCCGGGTAAGCAACTCCACGTCGCCTGTTTGTCGCTCAACACTCGACCGATGTCCAGAAAGTATACGCTCATTGGATTTCGAGAGGTCATCGATGACGCACGCCGAGTCGGCAAAAAGTCGGACGATGACTTCGACGACGAACAATTTGGTCGAAAACCAAACGACGATGTCACAGTTGCAGCTGCATCCGCTACCACCGCCTTTTCGCTTTCCTGCTCAGCCAGACGAGCTCTGATGTACAGTTCCATGCGCCTAAATATTCTACGCTTATCACCAATGAGTTATCATTTCGATACAAATATCTTAATTTAAAAAAATTCAGCACCTGTGGCTGAGGTCAATGAGTACAATCATGATTTTCATCAATCAAAACTGTCGAAAACCA